AGCCTTCAGGGTCCTAGAGATGGAGATCCAACAGGCCAGCCAGGTGTTGCTGCTGAAGCCCCAGGCTCTACCCACCTCACCAAGAGCTCTGCCACCCCCCTCATCAAGCCCAGGGCTCACCAGGCTGGTGATGCCAAAGAGCAAAGCTAACACCAGGCACACATGCTTGCTCCTCAGCTACAGCCACCAGCCTGGAGCTTGCTCCTGCTGTAAAACCCCTTTTCCTCCACCCCCAAAGCCTTCTGCTTCATATTAAAATCATCCATCAAAGCAGACTCTCCATTGACTCTGCTGGGTACCCGAAGCTGCACAACGCTGGCCTGGAAGCTGAGCTGAGGAGAGAAAGGGGGGGTTGATATTCTAACCCACCCTTCCCTCCCCTCAAATCCATCACCCCATAGGGGTGTTGGAGCAGCCCCTCCAGCTCACTTGGCTCAGCCCAGCCTGCTGAAATTTGTGCTCAGCCAGCCCCAGATACTCTACATCCCCCCCCTTCCACGGCGTGATGAATGAGGGAAACTTTCTCAGCTCAGTTTGTTCTCACAGTGCCGTCCAACAGAGCACAAGGCTGGCTAATCAGGAGCTACAGTCCTCCACCATCTGTTTAGGGCCTCATTACAAATGCAGAAAAAAAAGAATGTGCTTTACAATTGCACCAGTAAATGCTGGGAAATGATTGAAATGCACGCACATGTTCCCTGCAGAATTCAGCAGGCATCTGCGACTTCTCCTCTACGTTGGGCACACAAATCAAGGGGAAAAATACCCAGATCTGATGAACAGCGTGTCCCTGGGATGGTGATTTTTATCCCTTTTTTTCCTCCCCCCTCCCCTGCCCTGCCAGAATGGCAAACAGGGCTTTTTTTTTTCCCTAACAATCCATTCGACGGCGTTTTCTTCGCTTCCGTTTTAAAACCTGTTTCTGGCCGTGGTGTAAATATAGGACAAATTACTCCATAGAACAGGTGAAAGGAGAAGAGCAGCAGGGCCAGCCTGCATCTGGCTGGCCAGGGTTCAAAGGCAGGGCTTGGTTTGTTGCCCTGGAGTGGGCAGGACCAGCTCTGCTCCTCTGCTGGGGACCATGGACCTCCCACCACCGTTTCAAGCCCTTGGCTCACGTGCCCCTTTCTCAGGAGGATTCTCACTGCAAAGCCACAGAGGTTGGGGAGCTTCAAAACCCAGTGCACACAAGCATGTCTGAAGGCAAAAAAGAGCTAAAATACCTTTTTTTTTCCATGGCTGAAGAGGGGGAGGTGGCAGCATTTTGGAGTGGCAGCGGGTCAGAGAGCATCACTTCATCCGTGGCGGGGTGATGGTTGCCTGTGGGGCCATGCAGAGCCCTGCCCATGCAAATGAAGCAGCCACAGGGGGGTAATTAACAAAGAGATCATGCACGTTGGCCATGGGGACTGCCAGAGCTCGTTAGGAGCTTCATCAGGACGCTGGGGACAGGCATGGATGCAGAGACCCAGGGATGCTCTGTGCTGTGGTTACCACGCACCACCAACTTTGTGCACTGCTCCCACAGCCAAGCCACCAAATTCAACCCCACTTCAGCTCTCTGGGCTTTTGGCCCACTGTGCACCCCAGCAAAACACTGAAAGGATGAATCCTGCCCCAAAAATGTAGAGTGGAGCAGCTGGGAGGCAGCAGAGCTTCAGCTTGGTCACCACCAAGGCAATGTTGATGAACAACGAGGCTGTTTCAAAGATGCTTCTACCACCCAAAGGGTAATGAAGCTGCTCCAAAACCTGTCATACAAAGGTTGGTATCAATGATGGACATGTGACAGCATTTCTACTCCATGGGGCACTTGGCCAAGTGGGGACAGGCTAGAGAAGGCTTTGAAGACCAGAAAGAGGAAAAACCACATCCAACTGATGGGAGACGAGCATCACTCCACCACAAGTTTCCTTTCCATGTTTGTTTGCTTGAAGGCCCCGAACTCTGAAGCCTGGAGGACTAACTGGCACCACCAGGTTGAGAGGGAGGACAAAAAAAGGTCAGGCATCAGCTCAGCTAGAGCAGAAGCTGCAACAGATTTGTTTCCACCAGCCCTGTGCTCACAGCTTTCATCTCCCCTTGGCCAGTTGGATTGAACAGCAGAGGCCGTTTGAGAAGGCAGCATGGGGGGCTTTCCATCCTCCAGGTCATTTTGCCAGCAATGCTGGCCCCAAGTGCTGGCTCTGCCACTTGGCCCAGGGCTTTGTGCCCATCTTTTGATTCAGTTTCCCTCCGTGGGCCCAACCTCATAAATTTCCCAGCTCCTGCATCGCTCCTTTGACACCCGCTGGGCAGGAGGAGGCCAAGCCCTGAGGAGAGCACGTGGTCCTTCCCCACAGCCCCCTTCCCTTGGCTGAAAGAGGGTGAAAACATGGACAGCCCTGCTGCTTTTCCTTGGGCAGCTGAGGGGATGGTGGTAGAAGAGAGAGAGAAACCTGCCAACGTTCCTTTGGGCAGGTGAGGACCCATGGACCCAGCTCAGCTCCCAGCTCCAAGTCTTCTTCTGCACCTCAGGTGTCCCAGGTCCAAACAGAGACCTGGGGAGCAAATCCCTCTTTGCAAAGCTCTTTGAAACCTAGAAGAAAAAACCCATCACCTCCTTGCTAAATACCACGGAAGCAGGTTTTGGCCCCTGCAAGATTCCTGTTGGCTGGTGCAGGGCAGGGAGCACCCCCATCATTCCCAAAGCCAGACCAGTGCATTCCTGACACTCTTTAAAGCCACCAAACCACGGCTGCATTGAATCCAATACAGCTGAAACACAGCTGCCTTCCTGCTTGCCTTGGTTTCCCTCACCATTCTGTGATTTCATGCTCC